TACATACATAAGTTAATGTAGATGATAATAGCAATAAAATCAAAATAGAAAATTACAATGAAAATAATCATAATAAAAATAAATTAAAAAAAAATACTTATGATTAATGTGCACAACATGAATGATTGTTGAAAACAAGCATAAATTATGCTTTCAAGCGGTCTAAAACAGTATGTACTTGCATCTAACATTGAAATAAAATAAACTATTGCGTGGCTTCGCTTCGTTTTTTCAATATGGTAAAACGACAAGTATTAATTCAACTAACAGTCTACAATACGTTAGTTGTTGAATCCAACGAATCGGCCTGCAAAAGACCATCGAGTTACGGGTTCTCCCCTGTATTTATTCGATTCATATTTCATTCGTGAATATTTTCTATAATTCATACGTCCACTTATCTTAAAAATATCTCACATTCACATGTGAGTCCATCCACTTTGAGTACGCCCCTTCCGGAAGCATAGGTCAATAATCATATAAATACAAGAAAGTGTAGGATGCATAGCTAACGTTGTGATTTATTTACCCAAAGAAGCCTAGAAGAAGTAAGAGATATCTAAAAAATTTGGTCCTATTTTAACTAATTTGTTAGAAAATGAGACTCAATGCAACAACTAGAAAATTTAAAATAATTTTTTAATGTAACTTCATTTCTCTTTTCACTTATGGAATTGCAAAAGAGAAATTTATTTAACAAGTTTAATTTTACTTTTTTATTTTATTTTATTTCATTTATTTCACATACCTTTTCTTTTATTGCTCCACTAAATAACCAATTTTATATGTTATTAATTGAATAAATATTTAGTATATGAAATTTAATTATCTGTTTAGTGGTTTTTACTAACCATAAGTTTGGCTTCCAACAAACATAGATCTAAAATAAAATAATATATTTAAGAAAAATGTTAAGCACAATATATAAAAAAAATTGCAAAAATATGAGTTAAGCAAATGTTATTTTATATTATCACTATGTATTTTTTTTGTATGTTTTTTCATATAAAATTATTGATATGAAATTTTATAAGGCAAAACATTTCATCCAGAAGCACAAGAAATTGTAATTTGATTTCGAGTATAAATTTATATTCATATTTTTGTAAATTATTTGTGGAATATTTATTAGGCATTTAATTCAAGGGTGTTTTGATCTTTTTCCTAATAAGTGGCATTTAGGTAATTTCAGGCACTTTTAAGGATATTTTTTAATTAGTTTTTTAAATCTATATATATTTTATTTTTTGTATTTTATAAAATAACTAAAGGTGATAAAAACAATTGCATTGCAGGTCCAATGTCTGAAATTTTTTTGCCATTGGATGCAGGTTCAACACTTTCTTTTTTTATTTTATTTAATAAAATTAAAAGAAAATTAAAAAAATAAAAAATAATATAGCAAAAACTATAGAAATCAATTTACCTTTCACATAAAGCAAAAATAGGACAATTGTTTTTCAGAATTTTTGTAGAATTCTCTAAATTTCTAATTAAATTTAAGTAAAAAAAAATTTCATATCAGAAGATCATAAGTTATCAATTATTTAAATTCTGCACTAAAAAAAAATGAAAAGTCATTTATTTAAAAGCTTATTTAAAATAAGATTTAAAAAGAAAAATTGTGTTCTTTTATATTTAAAATATTACATCAAATTCGTCTGTATGCATAGACAATTCTGACAAGATTTTATATACTTAAAACTATTTTTTATATTTGTCATGTCAAAAAATTTATGTTACTTCCATGCATTAATTGTTGTGTATAACTGTAGTTGTCACTTAATTGCCACGTGAAAATAAATAAATAAATAGTTGTAAAGTATTCACTTACAATTTGACCATTACATGTTTTTTAATGTATGTATACATTAGCAATGTATAGATAGATGATAAAAAGGAGTGTTTATTTAATTATGAAACATATTTATTATATTTAGCACAATTTGTTTGTTCTTAATTTTTTTTATTTGATTTACTATATATATATATATAAAGTTCATTTTATTATTACTATAATAGATGGCTGAGATTATTATTAATCAGTTACTCATTGGTCTATATAATAAACAAAGTGTGTATATTAATTTTCATTTTCTGATAAATATAAAAGGAAATACTTAGTAAATATTTTTGTTGATAAATTACCTATAAATTTTACTAAAAAAATATTCCTCTAATATTTACTGAGAGAATTACAGTTGGAATAAAATAATTAAAATAAAGCAAAAAAAATGATGATGTGTTATTTTTACTAACAAAATTTACTGACAGAAAAATTCATCGATAAATTCATTGGTAAACTGTGAACAATGTTTATTATTTTATTTATAAAGGAAATCACCGACAAAAAATTATATTGATATTTTTCAAAGAGCTTTAGAACTGTTTACTTTTCAATTACATTGTTGATTACTGTTCTTTATAAACAGAATCACTGATGGATTAAAAAGTTGTTGGTGTTATTTGACAATTTAAAAAAAATAATTAAATAAAAATTTTAAATTAAATATTAAACACGGAATTACTAATGGATTGAAAAGTTGTTGGTGATATTTTGCAATTCTGAAAATTTAAATTAAATATTACAGACGGTTTCACTAAAGGAATGATTAAAAATATTAATATTTAATTATCTATCGCTAAAACACCCAAATAAAAAGCTAGAATCCCTAATTTCACAACAGAAAGGGCTCATTTCTTCTTCTTTTTCTTCCCCATATGTAAAAAATGTCAATATCCATTTCTTTCTTTTCTTTCTCTCCTCAACTCCTTCTCTTCTCCTCTATACTCAAGTATGTATTTTTCTCATTTCTTCTTTTTTCTTCTCAGTTTTTTTTAATTAATATACTTTACAATTTTTTTCTTTTTTTTTCATTATATTTCTTTTTTATTTTTTTTGTTAGTAATAATTGTATGAATATTGTCACATGTATGCAACATCGCGGTGATCGCCCACCACCCTCATCAGGTGTGGTATGTCTATTTATTCCGGAAAATATGGGGAAATAAGGAATTATTATCTTTAAAAAAAAATAGAATGGGAGTTGCCACCTAATATTTTGGTTACTAAGAACTCTAACTGGTCTTTGAGATCGGGTACGGAGACTAGTTGTGTAAAGTGATGATATTAGCACCCCAAATACGCCCTACCTAAGGTAAGCAAGTTGCATTGTTTTATTGTCTGATAAAAATCTAAGTTCTTTTCATATTTTTTAATTGTCGATCCTTCTATGGTTTAAGAAAAGCCCTCTTTAGTAAGGAGATTCTTATCTTATAGGATAAAACTTAACCTTTCTAATGTTTATAAAAGAACTATCTTTTTAATTTTGGAAATACGTTTTACGTATAAATTTATAATCCCTGACATTAAAACAAAACAAATTTTTTTTTTTTTTTGAAATATTGGTTAAGTTCTCATGACTTTAATAAACTAGTTATTAAAGCCAAAAGACATCAAATATATATATTTTTTTAAAATTAGATATTTTAATACCGGATTTGTACCTTTACGATATAAAAATAAAGACTGATATTACTCAAAATGGCATAGAAAAACACGCGAGAAAATCCTAAATTTCCCAAAATGATTTTTGAATTTTTTTACTAGGTCGGGCCAACCCAAAAGGAGATTGGGCCAAAAGCAGCCCAAAAATGAAATTGGGTCTACTTTTTACATGATTGGACTTCAGCCAACCACATGAGCTAGGCTGATGATCCAGCTCGTAGCAACTAAGGACTAGTTACTATGCATAAGCACAACAACCAATTAATTAATTAGTCGATTACTGTATGCATGTATAGTAACTGGTTAATTATTCTTCTTTCTTGTAAAACGTACACAGTGCCCATTCTGCATGCAAAAGATGAACAATGACTGATGACTATAAGGGGGAAGAGAATTACCTGAGATGATGATCTCAAATAGCTAAGCTGATAGCGATGCTAGTGACCGTTCTTGGTGGTGTTGCGGTGGTAGACAATGGTTTTCCCTCTTCTCTTGAGTGCTTCCTTTTCACTCTGTTTCATTTCCCTTCTCTTATCCTTTTTGTCGACCTTAGCTTCCCCCTGTTTTCCTGTTCTTCTTTTATTAACTGCTGGTGATGGTGGCAACGACTAGGACTACGGATGGTGGATGGGAAACCAGGTGGTAGCTGCTGGGGACTACAAAGGATATAATATTTAGAAAGTGAAGAGATAACAAAGATGACCTTTTTCAATTTAAGCTAGGTCGGTTAAAATCAATAAATTTTGACTTTATCTAATGTAATGATTTAAATTTGCAAAGAGTCATAATTTGCGAATCCATAACTGGTGAATCCACTACGTATTAATAGACATACTACTAAAACTTAACTATATGATATGTGGTTCAATTTTGTGGTGTGTGAGCTCAAGATTAGTTCGGTCATCTTTTTCTATTTTAACCAACATCATTTAAATAATTATAAAATAATTAATTAGCAACCACCAATAATTATTTAAAAGGTCATTTTAAATATAGAAAAAAGTATAAAAATAAAAAAATATTTATAATCATAAAAAATAATAAAAATATCTTTAATTAGCCATAAAACAACTTTTTTAATGCTCTCTTTTATTTCTCTTTTCTCTTTGTATTTATCTCTCTCATGTTAAATAAGTAATGATAATTATTTTTTGATTAAATTTCTCCGCCCACAAATAACATGACTTATGTCATATGGTTGAGGGAAAAATTAATTTTCTTTCCATTATAAATTCCATTCAACCTTTTAAAAATTTAAAAATTAGGTTAAAATCCCAAGTTCTAATTTGTTTCCTTTGAAATAAACTCAAGACATTTCTTTTTTTTAAAAAAAAAAATGTCAACATAAATTAATGACATTCTTCTGGATTCAGGCCTTTTCTTGCGAAATAAAAGAAACCAACCATGGGCATTGGGCACTTAAAGATAGTCCGTGTCAAATTAGGTAGCCCATCAGTCACCACATCTAAAAATTGGGCTCATGGCATGGAAAAGGTGGCAAAATCAAAGGCAACGGTCACCAACTCCCATTTCCTACCAACCAATTAGAATACTATAGGTAGCCAAATTTGACCCGCTTATTAATTCAGACAAATCAAGAGCAGATCATCACCAAGTCTTACATTTCCTCCTACCTTCAAGCAGGTGTAAGCAATTGCTACTCTTATGTACCTTCCCTTCTTTCTTTCTTTCTTTTTTTAACATTATTGTTGTCAACTATCAACTAATTTCTCTTGTCTTTTCGATTCCCAGTTCTTTGATTTTCCTGGGTTTTCCTTAATTTCTCCGGAATCCATTTCCAAGGTGCGTACTTTTTTTTTGTTTGTTTGCTTGACAAAGATGGTACTTTTTAGTATATTCTTGTCTTGTATTTTTTTTATTTTATTTTTTATTTGCTTTAGAGATCTGAGTGGAGAATTCAAATCAGAAGGATTTTTTATAATTGTCAGGATTTAGTTTATAACAACTCCTATTAGCTTACAAGTTTGGCTTTTGATTTTTTAATGTTTCTGGGATTTATTAAGGAATTGGTGATCTGGGATTTGCAGGTCTCTGCGTGATCTTGCTAGTGAATTTGTTTTTGTTGTGATCAGAGTACAGTTTGAAAAGTCAAGTTTTTAATGATTTCTTTGATGAGCTTGGGAAATTCTTGATCATATTCTTGTTGAACAGCTTCGTTGGTTCTTTTCATTTTTTTAAAGTTGATTACTTTCAAATTAAATGGATCGATCTAATTTTATTTTTTTTCTAATCATTGTCTTCTGAGTAACAGCTTGAATTAAGTTTCATTTGAAAATCTTACCGTCATTTGTTTTGATCTTTAACATGAGGCCTCGCAATATGTTCCAAAATTGAAAGGAATGTGAAAGAAATATGTTTGCTAGCTTTTATTTAACAATCCAGACTCTTTATTTATTTATTTATTTATATTTTTTTTTGCCAAGATTCGTGAATTGCTTTTAGCGTTTCACAAACTTTTGGAATTTATCTCATTAGAGATCATATTGTCAGGTTAACTATGGCTGGTGCCACAAAGCCAAAAAGAGTAAACTAGGGCTGCTGCCACAAAGCCAACAAGAGTAGGCCTCGCTGGTCTGGCTGTCATGGGCCAGAATCTGGCCCTTAATATTGCAGAGAAAGGCTTCCCCATTTCGGTTTATAATCGGTCTACCTCCAAAGTTGATGAGACTGTTGAGAGGGCTAAAAAAGAGGGAGATCTTCCCTTATATGGCTTCCATGATCCTGAATCTTTTGTGAAGTCAATCCAAAAGCCTCGAGTGATAATTATGCTTGTCAAGGCAGGGTCACCTGTTGATCAAACCATAAAGACACTTTCTGCCTACTTGGAGAAGGGAGATTGTATCATTGATGGTGGAAATGAGTGGTATGAGAACACTGAGAGGAGAGAAAAGGCTATGGCTGAATTGGGCTTGCTCTACCTTGGAATGGGAGTTTCAGGTGGTGAAGAGGGTGCACGTAATGGACCTTCAATGATGCCTGGAGGTTCCTTGGAGGCTTTCAAGTACATCGAAGACATTCTTCTTAAAGTGGCAGCTCAAGTTCCTGGTAGTGGCCCTTGCGTGACTTACATCGGCAAAGGCGGTTCTGGTAATTTTGTCAAGATGGTTCATAATGGAATTGAATATGGCGATATGCAGTTGATTGCTGAAGCTTATGATGTACTAAAATCAGTTGGAAAGTTGTCAAATGAAGAACTCCATAGTGTTTTTGCAGAATGGAACAAGGGTGAGCTTCTTAGCTTCTTGATTGAAATCACTGCAGATATATTTGGCATTAAAGATGATAAGGGGGAAGGATATCTGGTTGACAAGGTTTTGGACAAAACTGGCATGAAGGGTACAGGTAAATGGACTGTGCAGCAAGCTGCTGATCTATCCGTAGCAGCTCCTACAATTGCATCTTCTTTGGATGCAAGGTTCCTCAGTGGTTTGAAGGAGGAGCGTGTTGAGGCTGCTAAAGTCTTCAAAGCAGGTGGTTTTGGGGATATTTTAACTGGTCAAGTGGTGGATAAGAAGCAGTTGATTGATGATGTCAGACAAGCTCTTTATGCATCCAAGATTTGTAGTTATGCACAGGGGATGAATTTGATCCGTGCAAAGAGTATTGAGAAGGGATGGGACTTGAAATTGGGAGAACTGGCCAGGATTTGGAAGGGTGGTTGTATTATCCGAGCTGTATTTCTGGACTGGATCAAGAAGGCATATGATAGAAATCCTGATCTTGCTAACCTTCTAGTGGATCCAGAGTTTTCAAAGGAAATTATTGAGCGCCAGTCTGCATGGCGCAGGGTTGTGTGTCTTGCAATCAACTCCGGTATTAGCACTCCTGGTATGTCATCCAGTCTCGCTTATTTTGACACCTACCGGAGGGGAAGGTTGCCTGCTAATTTGGTCCAAGCTCAAAGAGATTATTTTGGTGCTCATACATATGAAAGGGTTGACGTGGAAGGATCTTTCCATACTGAATGGTTCAAGATTGCTAGGCAGTGTAAGAATTAAACCTTTATCCAGTGCTAGCAAGCTTAATCAAGACTCTCAATAAGACAGTAACTTTTGCCCTGGACTCCATGCTGGGTACAACTTTCGCCACCCCTGTTTCATGAGATTCATCTCGATCCATTTGAATATTTAGACACTTTTTCGTTCTTCTATATGTTGTGGTTTTTCTTGGCGGTTCTACTGCTTTGTATTTTAGTGCCACCAGGTTCCTCATTTAAGCTTCGTGGCTCTTCCCTGCTTTGAAGAGAAATGTAATGGTGCTTTTGAGGAGTAGTTTGAATCAGATATTCGAGCAATAATTTCTCTTTTGGTGGTATTTCTTGCTTTGCTATTCTTCAACAATTTATTTACTTTACAATATTGCCATGCAATGGATGTTGGTTTATACTTTTCCGACTTTACATTTGAATTTATTATTTACAAGGCGGGGAAACTGTTTGAATGCTGCAACAATTACTTGATTTCAATTGTTATATAGCCAGATAAACCCATGCTATGCCACCTTTTCACCAAGTAACAATCTTTTCTTGAAAACAAACCTTGCATCAGGGTTTTTTTTTTTCCAGAAACAGAGCTGAAGATGAGGCTCATGGCATTCCATATTAAAAACAATTTTTTAAAATAAAAAATATTATTTATTTTAATATATCACAGATTAAAAAGAAAGAAAGAACGGAGGCTGGCGTGATCGCGATTATCAAGTTTATTTTTATCCAAAAACCAGGAGGTTCTGTTCTCTCGGCATGAAAACGACAGTATATAAATTCGGACAAATGAAAAGCTCCATCATCAAGTCTCACGTTTCTGACTATCACTTCTGCCCGGTAAGCAACTGCTGCTCTTACGTGAACCTTCCCTTCTTTCTCTTTCTTTAATATTATTGTTGTCAGCTATCTACTGATTTCTCGTCTCTCCTTCCATTCCCAGATCTTTGGTTTTCCTTTATTTTTCAGAACCCATTTCCAAGGTGTGTACTTTCTTATTTGTTTGATAAAGATGTGATTTTTTTTTCAAGTAGTTATTGTCTGCTTCTCTTCTAGTTTTGTTTTTTTTTTTTTGGATATCTGAATGGAGAAGAAACATGAGAAATTTCTGAGCATATTAAAAATTATGGTTATGATTATTTTTAAATAATTTTTTATATAAAAATATATATTAATAATGTTTTAAAAAATTATTTTTAATATCAGTGCATTAAAATAATTTAAAAACATTAAAAATATATTAATATAAAAAATAAAAAAAATTAAATTTTTTTTAAATCACTTTTAAAATACATAAACATGTCTTCATTATGCTAAAAGTTTAATTTTAAAGCAAAAAGCAAAATACACTGGAGCTATCAAAATTAAATTTTAATTTTTAAATAAAAAAATGTTTAAATAAATCAAGAACTATATAAAATAAATATTGAGTTTTTAAAGATTGGTGCTCATAGATATGAAAGGGTTGGTGTGGAAGGATCTTTCCATGCTGAGTGGTTCAAGATTTCAAGGCAGTTGAAGAATTAAACCTTTCTATAATTTATAACTAGCTGGTTGGCCCATTTCGGCTACATCAAGAAATTTGTTTAAATGTAATCAAATGAATGTGAAACAAGGTGTTATCTAGCACCATAATTTATCTTAATTATGAATTGAAATTTTATGTATTTATTTAATAAAATAAATTAAAAATTATATGAGTTAATATATATATATATATATATATATATATTGTTAGCACTAAATAAATATAAAATCAAGAAATTATGATATTGAAATAGATTAAGATATTTTATCAGCACAGAATCCCTTGGTGTATTTTTTTTCTAATTAATCATATAGCAATAAGTTTTTTTGTTATTGTAAAAGTAATAATAATTTCATTAAAACAAAATAATTTGCCAATACGATTCCTCTTTTTCTTATCAATATATTTTTTTCCACAAAAAATATAACTATTTTGTTCAATAATATTTATTTAAAAAATAAAAAAATAAGAACAAATTAAAAAAAATAATGATAAGAAATGTATCTCTCTATTCAAAACCCTTTTATCTTATTAACACGATATATTTTTTCTAGTATTTCTTTACAAAAATATTTGTTTTACATACATCTTATAATAATCATATAAAAAAAAGTTTTAACTAAAAATATAATATTTTATTAATTTTAATATGAATAACTTATAAAAATTTATAAACAACACATAATGTGTATAATTGTTATGGGAAATTTTTTGATAAAATTGTTAAATTCAAGATCAAACTTTAGATTTCCTAACTAGACTTCTTATCTATTTTGGATTTCAAATAATAGTGAATGAGAGCTTACCTCCTATAATGTGATTGAGATTACCAATTTAAATATCTCCTTATCAATCAATAAAATTTATTACTTAAAGATTAGGTATAATTGTATTAAATAATTTTTTTAATTAATTTAAGTTAATTAATCAAATTTTTTATTAAAAATTGGATACAATTATATTAAATAACTTTAATTCTTGAAATCTATTTTTAATTTAATCATAAAATAACCTGAATAAATTTTTATAAACAAACCACAACTTAAATGATTCTGTTTTTTTTAAAGTAATATGAAGGGTTATAAAATAAATTGCTTATTAATGTTAAAAAATTGATATAATTTTCTTGAAAATTAAATTCAAAATAAAATTGAATGATATTTAATAAAATAATATTTAAAATAAATTTTTAATTAATTTTTAATAATAAATTATAGTCAAGATTGAAGTAAAAAGAGCAAAGTTAGAACAGGTCAGGCGTGGGGGCCTATGATGTGAGTTTTAGTGCCTAGCCTTTATTTATTTATTGTTTTACCCTTCTCTCCTCGTGCATCCAAATTTCTTTTATAAAAAAAAGAGCACTTGATGTGCCGTTTGCAGTTATACGTTACACATCATCTACTTCCATATTTTGACCACCAATTAGGTGATCGAAAAATCATGCTTGGTTTTCATTTAAAAATTATTTGCAATATATTTTCATTAAAATATCTAATAAATATTTTTAAAATTTTAATAAATTATTTTTTAACTTAAAATATCCTATAAATTAGTAAAAAAATACAATTAAATAATAAAAATTCTTTCCCAAGTGTGATATATCTTTTTATTACAATGCAAAAGTTCAAAAATATTCCAATCATATTTTTCTCATCAAGAGAAACATGGTTTTATTTTATTCATTGTATCTCACCAACCAAACGGTTTCTTTTTTTATGCGGATCAGCCTAACACCAAGTGTAATCATGCCAACAACCCATTGAAGGTGCCAATTGGACCAATCACAAGAGTTAGGGCTAAGAAGTTTAAAGAAGCATTGAATGAGCTTGTTCAGAACATATGGAACAAAATGGACCTAGAGGGGCTTAGGACATTTAAGGAGCATGAAGGACAGCCTTTAATTCATTTAGTTCAGGTCCAAGAAGAGCCCAATTCATGTGGAACAAGGGGTTGATGTGTCCGGCCCAATACCAGCCTTGCTAGGCTTGTCTTTTTCTAATACTACAAGGATAAAGAGTCAGCAATTTATTCTCCTAACTAAGTAAGGAAGTTGGCCAAATCTTATTCCTAAAGAGGGGAGGACTATTTAATGCTTTTCCTCACTTAGGAAGGAAAGTAATTAAATCAGTAACAAGGGAGGAAATTTGTTTTCTTATTTGTCCAAGTTAAACAAGGAATTTCAAGCTAATTAAGGACATCAAAGGGGGCAGCAACACAAATTTTCCAAATCAG